AATACCCTTTCATATTCTCTTTAAAGAATCAAAATACTTTAAATTGAAATTAAAGCACTTGAAATTTCTCCAGTACTCTATATATGCATGTGTATTAAAGAGCTTCCACTTCGTCCTAGTTTAGCCCATGTCTTTTCCCACACCAGAACACACATAGCAAAGAAGAATGGAGACTGTCCTTTCCCTGTGTGACAGCCAGGGTTCTAAAGCTTCTGAAGCACATAGCCTACAAATTTCACCTTTTATAGGTTGAAGTGCTTTCAGCTTCTGTTTTAAAAGCCCACTCAGAGTGGACTCGTCTTGTTAAGTTCCTAAAAGCATGTTCTGATACTTTTCTTATAAAAAGGTAGGCCTGCACTGGCCTCATGTGTTTAAGAGCACTTTTTTAACAAAATGTTTTTTTCAAGGAGCCCTTACTTTACTGATTTGGAAGAACGTTTGACGAACAACAGAACAAGCCAACAGAATTGATATTACTGTATGTTTGTATCGTAAGTCACAATAAGGCGATTCTTTGAGCTTTCTGGAGATGTAATTTTAGATTAGTCGAAGAACTGTTACACAAAATGTGAGTATCAGTGTTTTGACAGCGTTGCTTCATGATTGATAATGTGTTATAAATTGAAATGATTATCCATGCATATGTCTAATCCTGAGTCTCTTGTCTTTAAGGCGGGGACAAACAGTCAACCAGCCCAGGGCATCACAAGTCAGCAGACACCTCAAGTGAAGACAAGACCAGCTGCCATCGATCCCACTACCATTCCCCTCTTCCCATCAAGCACTGGGGCTTCGGCCAACCCATACGATGGCGAGTTCCTCAGTAAACCTGGGACACTGCATTCTTTTGCTCATGCACAGGTTCTTCACGCTGCAAACTACCAGGTGGATCATCCTCCAATCCCAGAGGAGCTGTATTCTGGTGATTCTGCTCGTCTTCAGATTAGCTCAAGCTATACCTCCTGCTCTGATTGTAACCGGTCTGCTGGAGCCTCTGGACAGGAGCCTCAACACAATGAGCCTGAAGAGAATCACTTCTCATCCTTTGAGAACACTGTCTCCTCTCCTGTTCAGAGTGCCCTGCCCAACACTTCTTTTGCTGGTGCTACAAGGATGCCAATGGAAAGATCTGCACCCAGTACAGCAAGCTGGCCAACACAAAACTATACCAGAAGTGCGGAAGAAAACCCCAACTTAACAACAGACGTGCCAGCTGTTTTCAATGAGTTTCCAGAGACCAATAGAAGTACAAATGTATATAGAACAAATAATGAATTGCACTCTCTGTCTCTCTCTGATGTGAGGGAGAACGTAGTGCGTCTCTTTCAGCCCTCCTTTGCTGACAATTATGCAGGACAAATCCGCACGTCTCTGGAGAGCTCTCCCGACAGGCTCAGGGGACCCTCCGAGTCTCGGGAGCCAGAAAGCTCAGTATCCTCTCCAGGACGGGCTCATGGGAGCCGTCCCGGAGGCTGGGGGGGTAGTGCCCGTGATCTGCTCGGAAACCACTATGTCCAAGCCATCGGAATCGTTGCTGTATCTTTCCTGCTTTGGAGATACATGAGGAAGTGGAAGTCTTCAAATTAAAAACAAAGCAAAACATGGGTTTGTAGATGAAAGGAAGAAATGCCGTTAAAGTTAAGGTACTTTTTTTTTTTTTTTTGACGCTGCCACTGTGTTCAGTCTGGGAGTCCCAGAATGTTTTATGCAGATGAAAATGCACATATGCATGTTTTAGGCACATACAATCGCTGGTATTTATCACTGAAGCAAAAAGAAAAATAAATTGTAAAAGAACCTTCCAGCTAGCACTTAAGTGTTTTAATTGAAATTTTGATTTGGGCTTCTTCAACATCCACATTTTCCAGGGTGGTTTTGTTTTTTAACTAGGGGGCTTACAGAAACAATTAAATTGTATGAACACGTGGCTTTCAACTCAAACTTGACAAGCTACCCCACAGATGCTGCCGGTAACAGTATAAATCTAAAAGTTAAACAATATTTAAAGTTCTCTTGCAATAGTCACGACTGGGTGCCATGTGCCGTTAGTGCTTGAAAGTTTGTGTTCTGTATGTGCATACATCACCACTATGGTTGGTAGGAGGCATTTTGCCCTATCTGGCCCATTTCATAGTTAATATTCCATTGATCTAAAAATCTCAACTAGCTGGTTCTTGAAAGAAACCAGGGCATCGGCTTCAACAACACGGCAGGGTAGTTTGTTCCATACTGCTGAAACTCTCTGGGTAAAAAAAGTGCTTCCTGTTCTTGCTTTCCAGTACATTTCTACATAGTTTCTACTTGTGTCTTCTGCTTTGTGTTTTTCTTGTGATTCTGAAGAAATTCACTAGGTTGACTTTGTTAGTGTCTTTTTGTTTAACGGATTGTCTTTTTTGTACAGCTGTGCTATTTAAATGGCTTTCTTTCAGTTTTTGAAGTTATATTAAGTCAATCAGATCTGCATACTTGTAATCGCAAAATACCAAGCTCAATTATAAACATTAGAATTATACTATATAAGTCGTTGATATTGTTATTGATTTTGTACAACTGCGGCTGAATTGTTGTAGTACAGTGGAAATCAAACGTCTACACACCCTTATTGAAATTTCAGGTTTTGTTGATGTAAAGGCTGAAATCAATACAAATCATGTCAGACCTTTTTTCACCTTTAATAAGATCTTGTAACCAACAATATTTGAGTAAAAAACCAATGCATCATGTTTAGGAAGAATAATTAACAAAAAAAAGTTTCAATGCCTTGGTTGCATAAGTGTTCATACCCTTTATAAAGGGGGTTGTAACTGTGTTCAGATTTAACCAATCACATTCCAAATCATGTACAAAGGTCATTTGCCTTCACCTGACATGAACTGAAGTGACTGTAATTGCCCTAAATAAAATCAGCTGTTCCTGTAGTATTTCCTTGAAGGTTTCTTGGTTGCTTAGTGCAGAGATAACCATGGTCCACAAGGAACCAACAGAAGATCTATGGGATCTTATTGTTGAAAGGTACAGATCAGGAGAGGGACATAAAAGATTTTTGAAGGCTTGACATATATCATGGGACACTGTGAAGAAAACTGAAGTTAAAACGAATTTGACCTTTCAACATGACAATGGTCCGAAGCACACAGTCAACCCAACCAACGAGGAAAAAAGGAAGATCAATGTCCTGGAATGGCCCTGTCAGAGCCTGGACCTCAATCCTATATAAAACCTGTGGACTGAGCTAAAGAGGGCTGTGCACAAGAGAGCCCCCTGCAATTTGACTGAGCTTCCGCAAAGAAGAGTGGGATAAAATGGCAAAATCCAGGTGCTGACTTGATAGAGACCTATCCAAACAGACTTGCTGCTGTAATCACATCAAAAGGTGTTTCCACAAAGTATTAAAGGTGTGCACAATTACACAATTAAGACATTGGAAGTTTTTTTTTGTTTTCATTTTTCCTCAATTTGTTTTTCACTTATTGTACATATTGTTGGTTACAACATGTTATTTAAGGTGGAAAAAAAGTCTGGCATGATTTGTCTTGTTTTAGGCCTTTACATCAACAAAAACTGAAATTTCCATAAGGTTGTGTAGACCTGATATCCACTGTACATTAAAAACACAATTGAGTGTCATAATGGATAATGTCACATTTTGAAACGAGAATTATGAATAATGAAAGAATTTCTTGGCTTATTGCATTGTATTGCATTGCAGTTATAAGACAGCTCAAAATGTATTTAACACTGTATTTTGATTTATGTTTCAGGATTAAAATGCTATAAAATTACTGTATAGAATGTCTCAGGAGTATGTGATTTATCATTCCTAATTGAAATGGAAGCCCAGAAACATACACAGGGTATGGACTGCACAGAATTCTTGGCCCCTAGTAAAGCCCTTGTCAGTTTTACCCTATATTGTGTCACACATTAAATCGGCTTCAACAACATGGCTGGGAAGCTTGTTCCCTTCTCCCACAACCTTTTGCATAAGGACAGTCCTCCTGTTTTAGGTTTTACACACATTTCTCTGGTTTACGCTTCACAGCTGCTCATGAAGTCCACTTTGAGGCTTTTGAGTACTTGAATTGGGCCACCTCATAGTCTCTGTTCAGAGATATTCCTGAGCAGCAATATCTTTTTTTATAACATTAACTCAACATAAACTCTGTACACTACCATCAAATGAGGCCAATATAACCTCTTTGGTACAGTAGTGAAGAGTTAATTGACACCAGGATCTCCCTTTGAGATTAAAGTGCAGTGTGATGGTAGAACTCCATTTCAATTTCTTCTCTTGTAATTATTACAAATTATTATTTGTTATTATCATTATTAATTATTAATAAAGCGTTGTAATAGTAAAGCTGTACCAGTTTGTAGGGAAGAAACATGATGCCTGGGTCCCAGCTGAAAACAAGAGGTCAGCTTCATCCAATATTATCACGTTCTTGAGCTTTATGTGTTCCATGTTCATTAACAAAACCATAACCTGCCTAAAACGAAATTTGTAGAATGAGAAGCACATATTGCCATGTTTAAACTTTTATTATTTTATTGTTGAATAGAATTGAAAGAGGACCATGGAACAAAAGGTATTTATAGGTTAGACAAGTCATGCTGTGATAAATGTTTTATCCATCTAATGTACTATTGAGGTATTCAGTCAGGATAAATATTATTCACACCTTTGGCTTCTACCTTTTGTCCCCCTAGACACTGTTACTGTACATCAGTGTTTGCTGCTGCCCTCATCCTGGTCAGTAATAGGGGGAACCTCTGTGTGGGTTTTCTTTTAGGAGTTGTTAATCATCCCTGTGATAAGATCACTTTATTAGCCCTATACAATTTCTTGTATTAGGAATTTGTCTTTTTGCATACCCCAGCTTGCTCTCTATGAGACACACAGACAGGGAGAGAGAAGCTTGGGGTCAGTGCGCAGGGTCAGCCATTTATATGGCACCCCTGGAGCAGTTGGGGTTAAGGGCCTTGCTGGGGCCCAGCAGAGTAGGATTCCTCTACCAGCTGCGGGATTTGAACCAGCAACCTTCCAGCCACAGACACAGTACCTTAGCCACAGAGCCTGCACTCCACCCAATCTCTTCAAAGGCCAGACTGCACAAGCCCAGAGTCGACTCTAACAAGGACACTAGGGTGAGCACCTCTGCTCTTTCGAAAGGTGCCACTGGCTTTCAAAGATCAAGGAGACAGTACCCAGGTTTAATGTGCCATTGGAAGGACGGCA